AGAGAGAGAGAGAACGTTTATAACCGAGGATTACACGTCGCCCATGGAGACCGGTCGGTATTTAGAAAGATTTGTATTTCAGACCGGGTAGATAGGTAGGATATTTGAGTTGAACTCTCCTCGCGAGGGCGAGCGAGCGCACGAGCGAGCGACGACCTATATAAGCGCGCTCGACCTGATTTCTTGCCAAAATTCATTCCGCGCAAGGATTAAGCCGCTTTGTTCGAAACTTCACGATAATACCCTGGCGTTTCCGCTGAGTGAACGTGTATATTTTAACGCTTGAGCGCGCGCACTGCTGGCAGCGTGTAATGTATTCTGCTAACAGCGGCTACATCGACGAGCATCGCTCGACATCGGAACGACCGGTAAGCTTATCAACCGCCTGAAAATGATTATTGTCTCTCTCTCTCTCTCAGATATAAAGGGAGATAGGAATTATAAAGTTTGGAGCCCGTTTCCGTGTTTTCTCGCTGTAAAGCCAATCGTGATAAACATGCGGAGATAACGCGATAATAATTAATCTTTATGATTTAGTGATATTTCGGAAGCACTAGTGAAAAATATCATGGACGTACTTTGTACAATTATTTTCTTTATAATAAACAACTTTCCGTTATCCTTATTAATAAGTAAAAAATGCTTATCGATAAAAACAACAGAAACAAAATATTAAACGAATACAAAACTACCCGATAAAATAAACGTTGAAATAACTCAAGCTAAATCGTCTTTAACTTTAAGAACATTATGATACCGCCAAAACGGAGTATTTCAACGTTAATTATATGAAAACTCACTGTGATCGTCGGCAGCGCATAGGATATGTTCCTTGACGTGGGGATCCTGTCGCGGGCGTGGCCGGTGCTTGACCCAGACGCCGATGGTGAACTTTTGCGCCAGGCTGTGCTCCAGAACGTCGTTCGGTACGATCGCGGCCGAGTCCACGCCGTCAAACTCGAAGATCTCATCAGCTTCTCTACCCTCGTCTCTGGAAAGGATGGCCGTCCAGGAGGTCGTGGGTCCAGGTGTGGGCAGTAGGTCCACGCTGTCGCGCGAGGCGCCGCACAGTTTCCGCTGGCTGCGCACCCCGTAGGTGTCGCGATCGCAACCCTTGCCAATGTGATCGGTGGCCAAAGTCAGAGTGGCACGCACATTCCGCAGGATGCAGGGTGCGTCGCAGAGGTCAAGTCGCGCCGAGGGCAACAGGGGTTGCGAGCCGACGCCGGCGGCGTAATCTACCCTCTCAGGGATGCCTCGCCATCCGGGAGCGCACACGCGGTTCACCTTGACCGTCACCATCGCCGGCGCCGACTGTTTCATGCCGCAGTCGTAGGCGACCACGCTGAGTATGTAGTTGTGCGAACGTTCGTAGTCCAAGGGCTCGGTATTGCGGATGGCACCCTCGTTATCGATGATGAACGGCTGATCGGCAGTGAGGATCTCGTACTTGCAGACGTCACCGAACTTGGGGGTGCAGTCCCGGTCGGACGCCTCGACGCGGACCACTTCCTCGTACAGGCGACCTTCGTCCACGGTGCTGACATAGGCCGGTTGGAGGAACTGCGGCGCGTACTCGTTGACGTCAACCACAGTAATATGAACCGTGGCGCTGAAATGAAATTAAAGTGTGCACGTGCATCTCAAGGTCTCTTTACTTTTCCCGCGAGGAGATAACGACACGTCGCAAAAAACGTGTGGATATGCGCGCCACGTGATGAGAAGCCTAGATAGATCCTTCGAATTCCTACGCACTTCTCTCCGTACACGCGCAATTTACGTATATATTAATATTCTGCCGCCTATATCCCGTTGAAAATCCGCGCAATCTTTTTATGAGCTTCGAGGACGAATTCAAAAAAATTGAAATTTTCACGATGACAGGCACGTTGGGCACCGTAACGCGGAATGTAAAAGTTTACTTTCAACCATGAAAAAGATTATTTCGACTGTTCCCAGGACGGATTATAACCGAGAATTTGCATTATGATCTCTACGGTGAATTTAAAAGAGCTTATTTCCCCAGTCATAAAGGTTACTTTAATAACTTTTCCATTGAGATAATTAGCTATTTCATGCTGCCATAGATACGCTTACCTTTATAATAAATTTAATCGCAACGGTTTTTCAAATTAGTAAAAATTCATACATCGCAAAGCAGCGCGCGGTCGATATATACATTTTAATATTTCCATGTTGTCATAACAGAGGCATGCATTTTACCCCGTGTGCCCATTGGGAAAGGATTTAAAAGAATTACAGTCAAGCAAATACTGTCGATATACTTAATGTAAAACATTTACGTGACAGTGTCCGCTCGGAGCAATATATCGGAAATTTAATACGCGGCACACAACGGAAAAGTCAATAATGCGATACCGCAGAGACTGTATGTGCGAGAGAAAAGGATTGAATTTCGACTCGGAATTGTTTCGTTACCGAAAACATGCGTTTTCGAACAGCGGCGACCCGTTCGAGTTACGCACTCGGAATCTATTTACGTTTGAAATTTTAGACACGCAAAATCAATGCGTCGAAAATCCGCCAAGCGTGGACGTGTGTAATAATAATAATAATAATAATAATAAATAATCAGACAATCCCCCGCCTCGATACCCCGGCCTCGCTTGACTCTTCCATATTAATGTCATAATAGCATGTCGGACGCGTGTATGTGTGTCGATATCCTAATTAGAAATTACGACGTGCACTATCGCGGTGGTCGAGGCACGCGATACCAATCGATCGATATCCGGTAATTTGTTTGACCATCGCCGAAGTGAAATTTCGCAGTAACGTCATTTCCCCCGCTTTATATGAAAAATTCATCGCGAAATCTTTTATCTATAAAAGCGTCGTATGTTGTGCACGTATATACGAAATGTTTCACTATTGATCTGCCATTCGTTGGCGGCGATTTGGCGAGGTGAGAGAGATTCCGAGACGGAATCTCGGAAACAGAACGAGCGTCGTTCTGGCTTTTCACAGTAAATTACCTTCGCGATTGCTTTCCCCGTTTACCTTAATTTTATCCAAATGCCACAAAATTTACTATATTTGTCATCTAATTATTACCGCATTGTATCCACCACCGCGAAATTAACAATCCAATTTTACAAATTTACATTTACAATTTTCGTATACTCGTGTGGTAATATAAATTATATACGTAATTATAAGCGATGAATTTTTCCGTTTTTTCTAACAAAAGTCAAAGTCTATTTCGATGTCACGTATCTCTACTCCGGTGTGACATAATTCCTGTCTTTCTCCCCGGTCTACAATACGTTTTACGAGCTGTCGCAATCGCCAGCGTAAAAGTTTCATTCCGAGGGACGTGTTACATTTATCGAGGTGAAAGATCGAGAGCAAACGCGAACGGACGCAAGGGAATAGTCAGCAGTTATCGTTTCAGGCGGACTGGGCGTGAAATCGCGCAACCTCGTAATGAGAAAATTTGTGCAGTCAGGCCGGGAGTTATTTCCTCATTTAGCCGATACACGACTGGACTATGACGTTGTGCGCGACGTGCAAACGTAAGCCGGAAAAATTGGCATCGTGCTTGGCGCGACGCGCAATCCGATGACCCATATTCACGGAATGACTTATCACGAACTCACGAATAAATGCAGGGTAAGACGATGCATTTTCGACGATATGGTATTATAAGCGCGCCTCTATCTTTTTAGACACCGGAGACTGCCGCGTAATGATATAATCTGCGACAATAACGTCAAACGACGCGTATAATTTATGCTCGCATTATTATTGGACGCAACGTTTAAATTACGAATATAACGGACGAAAACATTAGGAAATGGAATGGATTTAATCTCCGACTATAATAAACGTGTCATATTTCTATTCCTTTCTCTGCCTGATAAATACATAACGAACGTAGCGAAAAAGAGGGATTTCGTGCAAGCATTACATTTTCCGTTATGTCACATTTACATTAATATTTTCAAGTTAATTGATAAGAGATGTGTTAAATATTCTCGTAAACGTAACGTGACATTTCAGAGGAACAGAGTTATGCTATATTTTAATAACATCTAATATGGAATGCACACTATCTCATAGTCTTTGTTATCTAAATGTTTCTCAACGGAAGTTTACTTCTAGTTATCTCGCAGTGCGCAGTAAAAAAAAAAAGATAACTGCAATGTATGAAGAAAAGTCCGACGAGGTGTGAACAGGGAAAGTATACGTTTCTACTTAGCTCTTATCTGAACGCCGAGAGAGCATCATACGATAGGAAACTTCTTTTTTTTTCCTCTGAGCTAAAGCAGTCGCGTGTTGAAGCTGGCTGACTCTCACAATTATAAACTTAGGTATAGTTCTTCCGTATCGTCCATTCCGCTCCACTTTCGTCAAGTTTACTTTATCTCGAGAGAGAATTTCCTCGAATGAACGCGCGTATCTTGCGCCATCGTAGTTACAACTCGGGGGGGATGAAAATTCACGCGAACGCTCGTGCAAGGGGAGAAATGCGTGAATCGATCCCGTCGCTGCTAAAATGCAGATGCGGAAAAAAACGTACTTTTCGGATTGCGCTCCGTTGCAGCCGACCGCGGCAATGTCGAACTTGTAATTACGGCGCTTCTCGCAATTCAGGACCCGGAACGCCCGCAGCTCGGCCATCCCCTTCTCTTTCAGAACGATCTCGAACGGCGCCTCGCCGTGGTGCTTGTTCGCGATGCGGAAGGAGCAAACTTTCGTTCCCAAGGCGCGGATCTGCGGCGTGACCTCGACCAGAGTTTCGTTCTCCTTGACCAGGCCGTGGTATCCACTCTCGAGGCTCTCCAAGTCCAGTCGTGGAGCTGCGAAAACACGTGTATGCAATTGATCAGTGACCGTCGATGACGTCCGTCGCCTCGTCGCGGAGGCGAAAAAAGGGACCGCCTCCTCCGGTTTCCGGTTTCGCTATTTCTAACGGAGTCACCAGCAACCGTAGCTGCTCGCGTTACTCGTCGGGAACTTTCGGTTCGTTTTTCAGACCGAGTTCTTCTTCTTTTTTTCCGAGAAAACGGATAGCCCGATTTCGCCAACTTTATCTCTCGAGACGGACGGCATCCGGAGTGAATCTACGGTCTCTCTCGTTAAACGCGGGGATTGCCGAGATATCGGCATTAAGGCCAGTTGGAGAATTTACGTAATGGCATAAGCGTATCACGTCCAGGGTAATAAAACGCTCAATATGCACCGCTATCACTCTACGATGATCCTGTCGAACGTTTTATTGATAGAGACGCTCTCTCGTGTTTATGCCGTTATGTAAATTCGCGCGCTCCGGCGCTGCAGATTTTAAATTCCCTGCCAATTTTTTAACGAGGCGTTAAAAATTAATGCATTAATCCGGTGTCAGGTGTTGAAAAAAAATTCAGTTAACGTATGTTTCCAAAAGGCCGGTAAAACTCATCTTCTTCTCCACCATCTTCTCCCCTCTCATTACATATAACAAGAGAACTTTTTAATTAAGCATCCGGAAAATATTCGGTGCTGGTTTACGCGGGTTTTAGCGCAAGAGAAGAATTGGAAATTTGGTGGAAATGGGTTAAGTAAAACAAAAGAGGCAGCAGCTCGTTAACTCGTTGTCAACTTCTTCAACATACGGATAATGAGAAAAGCGTTGAACAACTGTAGCAACTGTAGCAAAGAGGAGTGTTCGTTCTCATTTACGTCCGCAACGGTGGTTCATAATTATGCCGTTAATTGCTAACACTGGCGTTTTGAGCCGGTAGTCAACAACTAATATTCTCACGTAAGCTTCTCGACACTAGTATGATCCAGAATCACCAGATTACATTTGACGGACAGATTCTGCAACCATTTCAGGACGGATTTTTCCTCGGACGAAAATTTAAAAAAGAGGCGACAGTTTTGAAAGTGAGTGAATCGCTCAAAATAAAGCAGGAAATTTTAAACTCGATCAATAATTGTTTTTATCATTGTCGATGGTTGATCGTTCGATGTAATCAAAGTTATCTTTACCTTAACAAAGAAAAATGGAACTTCGTTGCTGAGATGTTTGATGGTGAAATGTGACACTTTATTATTCTATATTTTCCGAGGGCAAGTCAACTCCGAATTTATCAAGAAATTTATTTATAAAATATTGTACGCGTGAGATATGACGCACCTTGTTAAAAATATGCCAAAAACACACATTACGATAATTATACCGAAAATTTCAGTGTGAAAATTTCATTTAATAAAATTCGTTATGCTAAACTGGCGAATCATTTAACATCAGATTTTCATATTTTCGAAATTATAACAATTTTACATGTACATTTTAAGCTGAGTAATTATTTATAAGCAGTGTCTTTCGATCGCGGAAACGCGAAACGAAAGTCAATTATTAAACGTATGCATAATATGCTTTTCGATTATCTTGTAATTATCATTAAGCGACGTCGGACGCGTCAAAGCTGACATTTTCCTTTATAAAAACACGCCTACGGAATAAAATCATCTATATGTCGTTCCTACAATTATATTACATTCCGCTAATTATAGCAGATAATTATATATCACGAGTTTATACTATCAATATACAGGAGAGAGATTTGTATGTCAAGAATAACATAGAACATTTGCATAATCATACACGGTATCTAGCGATAAAATCGATTGTTATCCAATTGCGAACGAAAAAAAAAAAATCAATTATGAAATCTCTCTTGATATTCATCAATCGCAAAAATTACACAATATTTTTCTCGTTTAAATTGCCAGATCTATTATACGATAACGCGAATGGGGATTATCATAGCGAATGAAAATTGAATGAAAAATGACTTGTGCCTGTGGATGATATCGTTTAATTAACGTCACGTTTCTCGCGGCAATGCCTAAAGCTCGATCACCTCTCTCGTTAGAATATTCGGCTCAATCGGCGGGACATCTAATTTTAGCGGCCGATAATTACCGGCTCGCGCTCATTAATTAACTGTTCGAATGCGAAATATACTTTGACGCGGCGTATTATCGCATCGGAGCATCGGAAGAGAGAGGGGGGGGACCGATGACGCCTGGAACGCATTCAATTATCGTAACATGCAAATCCCGCGACGTGGGCCACGATATCAGCGACCGCCTCTCAAAGCCTCTCAAATATTGTGAATCGCGTGAGTTGTCACGTACCCGGAGCCGGGGCCCTTTCTAATCTTAGCGAGCCGAGTGATTAGAAGATAATTAACGATCCGCCGCCACGCGGGATGCACCTAAATATTTTTAACGCCCGTAACACGATCCCTCTCTCCCTTTTTCTCTCCCGAGTCGGATGCGACGAGAATATTAAATTCACATCACTTTACCTCTCGTCAGTCTTTGCTCGAAATCAGTCTAATTTTATCTTGGGCCCTCTCTCTCTCTCTCTCTCTCTCTCTCTCTCTCTCTCTCTCTCTCTCTCTCTCTCTCCCTCTCCCTCTCCCTCTCCCTCTCATTCTCTCTGTCTTTTAAACATGATTCACACCTAGTTTGTTATTCTGACAAGTATGACTAATACCGTCATTCGGTGAACGATCGTAATCGAGCCCCGAGTAATCACCGGAGGGGTGCGAGCCCCATTCCCGCGAAAAGTGCATTTAATTAAGAGAATGGAGTTGCGTAAGGTTTCCGAAATATATATCGTTGCGGCATGAAATTCAGAGTCATCAAGTCAATCGACAACTTCGCTACACAAATAAGGTAAAATCTTATTCGTTGATGAAACACGTAAGAATATAAAGAATATAAATTATTGTTCAAGAGAAACGTATGCGTGCAGTATTTGTTATCGCGTGTGCTTTAACATAAAAAAAAAGACCAATCGATTCCGATTATTCTCTGCCCAGCTATCGTTATCGATTCGTCTATTATGCCTTTTATCGTCGATCACATTTTTGTTTACATCAAATTTAGGTCCAAGCGCCTGCGAGGAAAAAAATCCGCAGTCTCTACCGCCGTCAGGTGCGATGCGAGGCGCATTTAACGACGAACAAAAAAAAAAAAAAAGACAGACGTGGCGCGTCGTTATGCCTCTCAATGGCCAGGCGACCTCGTGTGTCGCATCGAGACGTATATTTCGACAATTTTATCGTCGCGCCGCTTACGAATGCGTGAATAAATTTCACCGGCGTTTTCGCATATAAATCGGAACTTTTGCATAACACGGTTATTCCTGTCAGTCTGCGAATTTGGGCGTGTTAACGTGTGACGCGCGGTTAGAGAATCCTGGATTTTTCTTGCAGTTTTCCCCCCGGAATTAACCGGTGCACGGCGTTAATTTTTCTTATTTCAACCGAAAGAAAAAAAGATTAAAGAGAACATCATGACGAATCAACTTTGGTCGAAATACGACAGGTATCGGAAAAAAGCGTAGGAATTTTCCTCCGATTTTAACGTCCCGACACCTTTTTGTTACGTCACGCGAAAGACCCGCAAGGTCCGTCGAGGGATATCAACAGCCGAGTGAGGTCGGTCGGCTTGAGTGCGCTTGAGAATACCTCAACGGACTCCCCCGCATTTTTTCCTATCTCCCCCGTGCACGTTTTCCTCGCGTTACAAAGATGAGAGAGAAATCGCTCGACGGCGGAGGGTTAACAGCCGCCTTTCTTTCCTCGCCCGTTTCGCACGGCGGCGGTGACGATGGCGGTGGTGGTGGCGGCGGCGGCGGCGGCAGTGACAGAGGCGGCATATCGACCGGGTGGGCGCAGTGCAACGTTCAACTCGTATTGTACAATACGAGAGACGAGCACGCAACACGGTCAATGAGATCGCCATAACAGCCTCGGCGGGTCGCAGGTGCTGTTATCGTCCGTCGCACACCTGCGGACCGCCGTGTCGCGCCGTATCGCACCGCACCGCACCGCACCGCACCGCACCGCACCGTGCCGCGTCGCGACGCAACGTAACGCGACGCGACCCGACGTCGTCCTCGACGGTGGCGAGGACGAGAGCCGTCAAGACTCGGGGAAACACGCACGTACGATCCGCGATCGGCGACACGCTCGCCGATCAGGTAAGCGCATATGTAGGACACGGCGGCGACGGTGGCGGTGGCGGTAGCGGCGACAGTGCTGGCGGCGAGATCAGGAAAACGCCAACGGAGAAAGAGAGAATCAGAAAAGATCGAATCACCTCCATGATCGTTGCCGAAAGAACTCGAAGGTGTCGACTCGAAGGCCGCAGCGATGCTCGCGTGGGTGAGCCCGACGCACAGCAGGGCCAGCAGGCCGTAGAGCAGCGCGCCCGTCGTCCCCTGCGGCAGCATATTTCCTCCGCTCCTCGTCGTTGCCGTCGTCGTCGTCGACGTTGTCGTCGTCACGGGATCGTGTTGCCTGTCCGCACGCGGCGTGGCTTACGAGGCACCTTACTACGCGTTCTTATACGCGCTTCTCTCCGCACTCTCTCAACTCTCTCTCGACGGCGTATGTCTCACTCGCGCGCGCACTCGGAGTACACTCCGCTTTTTAAAGGAGCATCGCCGCCTGACTGCACGGGACGGACTCTGTCGCGCGCGCGCTCGCTCGCTCGCTCGCTCACTCGCTCTCGCGACGGCACACCGCACACACAATCGTGGAGTCAATATTTGAGCGGAATATCGATTCGCCGGAGTCGGGGGCGAGAGAGAGAGGGAGGGAGGGAGAAAAAGAGAGAGGTGACGCCAGTGCCGATTTTCGCCGCGCAGCCCCGGGGCGGCGCTGCCGCCGCCGGCGCGCGACTCCTTAAACCCCGTTCACACGATTTTTCCGTACGACGATTACGAGGACAAACGGCGCGGCGCGTACGCCACGTTCTGCGCAGGCTCCGACACCCGTGTGGTATGTCCAATCTCTTTCGAATTAGTCGATTAATATTCATCGTTAATAAAATATTGCGTAAAAATACACGAGAATGGTACGAAGAGTTTTTAAGCTTTATTTATGAATTTTCAACCGCGTTCTTTTTAAAATATACTATGCATCTCATAACATTTTTATATATACATTTAAAAAATTGTTAGGCGATAGATTCATGCACGTTTAATAAAGTTTCGATATAACATATTCATGTCTATACTGTTAAGAATTTATTGTACAAATATAAATATTGTACTACAAAAATATGACATAGATAATTCATCTAATATATTATTATATAATCTCGAGAAATAACTTCGTATCCCGTTACATATTAGAACCATTTTACTAGAACAAATCACCTCAAATAAAAACGAGAATATTTCGATTATTTATACTAGAGTTTATTTTTAGGTTCTTCTTTTCCGTATGCGATCTTTGAATATCCAGGCATTGGAAATTCTACATGCATGTCTTCACCGCTTACATCAGTGAAAATCACTCTAATTTTTGCATCAAGAAAATGTGTTCTATTTTTTACAGGACTCATTTTCGTAAATTCTTCTATAGTGATATCCGATTTATCAATCACCTGTTTTTCCGACAAACTGACTTCCTTCGGATACAATGTGTCTCCAGGCATAACATGCATAAAGCCATCCTTCAAATGTATACGTACCTATAAATATATTTATTCCTCGATAAAGTGACATATAAATATTTATTTCTCATTGGTAAATTAATATCAATGGAACAATATAGTTCATACCGGTAAATATAACTGCGCGCCTTCTTTATTATGTTTCACAGCAATATCCAGGAGATCATCTATATTTTTTAATTTGATTAACTTAGCGATTTCATACTGTTGCGGTGGTGGAAAAGTGATTTGACCCATTGAGGAAAAATTTTCTGGTGTATCCCACTAAATTCATTTCCAATGATTAGTCTTTATAATATGCATCTCTATATGCTATCTATTCAAATATCTCACTTTCAGATCCTCCATTTCTATAGCTTCATATTTAGCATAAGGCATGTGTGATAAACAAGCTAGATAAAAGGCGGTATTGAAGCGTTTCTCATATGCAGTTGTAGGCGTCATCCAATTCCTCCATTCGTGCAGGGCCCACAAGTCTGGATAACATTCAAACTTCTGGCAGAGATTGAAGAATTCTGTCGCATTGTCATGAACTTTGCTCTGCCACATTAGCAGCTCATCTCTGGGGACTGAAAATATCCAGACATTATATTGTTATGAATTGATCCTTGATTCTATATGATTGCTCACCTGATACATACTCGGCCCAGTTAGAAGGAGTGTTGCTGTCTTTATGTCTACATATCAGTATACCACATTCCTCAAAAGTCTCACGAATCGCTGTGATACGTAGTGAGACTTCTTTGGGAAGTTCATTCTCTCTCGATTGAAAAATCTGTGGTCGTGACGCGACTTTTGATATTAGAGACGTGAGCTTGTTATTATCCAGACCAAAAGCAGCAAAGTGCTCCTGCCACTTCAGATTGGCATCAGCTGGGTCCACCGTGCCACCCGGGAAAACATATAATCCCGGCATAAAATTTGATTTTTGATGACGCTTCAGACATAGTAGCTTATAATTGTGCTGAAATCATAGATTGCCTGTGGCCTCATCTAACTTTATGAAGAACGCTTCTCGACAGGTATAAAAAAAAACAAGCTGCATGTATACAAATCACGCTTTATAAAATTATAAATGGAAAGTTCTGTTATTGCTGTATTCGGTCGGTGTATCTGTCGCTCTATGTCACAGTCGTTATCTCGCGAGGTAGAGAAAGTGTCGCTCGAATGTTGCCACGCAGACAGTGTGTATACACATTCATGTTCTGTGCACTTACGACTGCAGGCGGCACTGCGCGGCTTGTCCCATGACGTGCTGCTAATATCAAGCTTGCTGCATCCTGCCAAGCCTTCATTTTCGCACGATTTCAGCTATACACACACACACACGCACACACGTGAAATGGAAGCGCTGATAGAAACTGTGACGAAACGGAAATCTACTATTGGTGATAACGAGTTGTCCGTCGAATTGAAGTGTCTCGTCATGCAGATTACGTCACACTATGATAACGAGAAATATTTATGTTCCTATTTATATTCATATAACAAATAGGAAAAAAACTTGGACATTGTTCCGAAATGTGATCGCGATCTCTTTATTATATTTATATGTATGCAACTATTATATATTATACTATTATTACAAATTGTATTGGGTCACTTTTACTTATTGATTAGCAAACCAGCATTTTGGCTGTGGCCTTGTTCACAATTCCCTAATTATTACCTTGTGTTGTATTCATTATCATACATTACACTTCTGTTTGTCTCGCTTTATCAAGCTTGATATTATTATTATTATTATTCAGAAACAACGGCTTCCAGCAGGACCGGTTGATCCGAGCGAGTCATCATTTATTTGCATTTCAGCGATACAATTTTGAAGAAATTCACTCGAATTCACTAGGAAGTTTCTAATTTAGGTCGGTGCGAGCACGTGGCTACGTTCTCTTCTTCTCGTCCCCGTCCACTTTCCCCATCGCCGCGATCATCAGCTCGTACAGCTGGCACACTTGCTCGTCCCGCAACTTCTCCAGGTCCTCTTCCTTCAGGTACCTACCGAGCGGCTTTCCCGTGTGAGGGCCCCTCAGCCCGAGCTGCTCGGCAAGAGTGATCGCGTAATTCTACGGACAAAGGAATCGCAATTTGCACCGCCTCCCGTCCCAATTCTCGTCTGACATAACCTCGAAACTCGCGTCCGCACGGCAGTCGGCACGACTCTCTACTCACAGTCCACTCGTGGAGGAAGATGATCGCCTCGCTCTCCACGCATCCCTTATGTCTCCGGAACTCGTCGCGGACATAACCGTCGCCCAGGGGCCGGACCTCGGCCGGTAGACCCCGGTGTAACCTCAAAATTGTCTTGTACAGTATCCTGACGCGCTGCACGTGCGTCCGGGAAGCCATGGCGCGTGTCATGCGCGCGTGCGAGCCGCATCCGTCAATTTTCATCGATCTCACCTCATTTATTCTATTGTTACAATTATACCCAATTATTCTATTGTTATAATTATATCTATTCTAATCTCGTTTTCCGATCATTTAATCTCATTCCGATATGCAATCTTCTCTGGGTCATTGATATTCAATATGGGTAATCTGGCAACTTTCCGAAAAAAATCTTGGCATCAACAATCTTGGAAAACACTTTGTTAAAAATTGATTTCAACTTGGCCAAGTTATTTCTAAAGAAAATTGCGCGATATGATATGTATTTAATGTATTAAATCTCGACTTTATATATTATTTGCTGGTTGCTAATGCTGGTTTATGAATATAAAAATTTGACTCATTATAACATTATTATTGAAAGAGGAAATCCGAATGTGTGTTCAAAAATATTTGACTAACAGATGAGCTCTTATATATTTTTTCATATGTCTTTTATTTATATTTGATTATGTAATTTAACTTATTTTTATAAAAGAAACATAATGAACATTATGGTTATTCTTATATAAAAATATCTACAAATCCTTACAAGTAAATTTAAGTACTTAACAACGATTACGCAATGAAAATTGGACAATAGTACAATTCTTAAAGATTAATTTATGTAAATTGAGCATCCAAATTCAATGTAAAATGTTCCAAATCATTTTCTGCATCTGATTAAAATATTAACGCTTAATTGGTATATCGCTGGTAATGGAGTTTCTGCGTCTTTGCTTAGACTAGTTATCCTCTGGGGTCCTGGTGTCTTGAATTTCCTGTAAATTAAATTGTCAAGGCTCAGCTCTCTGCCGCGTGACATGGTTTGTAGGAAGGGAGAAATGACATGTAAAAAGTTTCTTGCATCGTATAGCTTTATTTTGCGCTTTTCTCTTAAAAATGTAATATTTTCATATTCTTAAAATTTATAAAAAATACCAGAAAATAATGGTACACTTAGCTATTAGAAATCATCAGATCACTAGATCTAGTCGTTTCTAATAGCTGAGCAGTATATCATTATTTCAAGAATTATTTTACATTTTTACGTGATCTATTGGACAAATATCTTACTTTCTGGAATTTTTTACAAGTTTTAAAAATATAGAAATATTATGTTTTGAAGGGAAAAGTACAAAAAAATCAAGCTATATGATGCAAGAAACTTTTCGCATGTCATTTCTCGCTTCTGACATCATCATTCAATCTGACTGCAGTGAGCCAAGCCTTAAATTGTTAAATTTCCGCTCGTTCATGTAAATGTATTTTATTAATTTTATTAAAATTATTTTATTAATTAGACGCAATTTGAACTTGCAAAATTTATATAAAAATTAGGCGAAAAATTTAAACAGAAATGTTCTATTATTTTGACATAAATTAATATGTAAAATTTCTTTTAAGTGATGAAAATTTATAGGAGAGAGACTTTCGTAAATTTAAATCGTGAATTTAAATTTTATCTTTGTAATGACTTTCCCAGCGTAAATGCAACTTTGGGGGGAGGGGTGCAGCAAGATTCTGTGATACGGTTTTCCATAGAGATAGATCGAGGATCACGCGAGGTAAAACTTTTGAAAGATATGCAAACAATTTCTTACCCGGTTCCTTCTCTCCCCATATTTGGACCAAAATGTAACCTTACACGTAGACTTTTGTCCGGTTTGTTTGTTGAAAACCGAACAGCTATCAAACGGCGGTGAGTACAAATGCAGAGAGACCGCAGGATTCATCGCACTTGGATTTTCAACGCGATGCAAACCCAAGGAATCTTGAAAAACAGAAGAAAATATCGAAGATTACATACAGAATTATACAATTCACGCAATTAATTCTATTCATCGTAAATTCGTAAGAGATTCGCAATTATTTCGCGCGTTTGCAAACGTGAGAAGAAATTCGATATCCACAAAATGAGTCAAGATGTCTCGAAATTTCCAGGAAGCTGCTCATTCATATTTTTATATATTGAATATATAAAAAATTTATCGTAGTTAATTAAAAAAAGACATACCATTGATGTAACATATCTCGTTCGTATCAAGTGTGTTCCTCTCAAGTTCCCTGAGCTCTTCCACACCGTCTTCCGTCGCGGATCCCTCGGGCCACGCGTATCTCGTCTAAG